CAGCAGGAGGGTTGGACTAGATGACCCACAGAGGTCCCTTCCAACCCCTACCATTCTGTGATTCTGTGATAGAAGGAGGTGATGTTCTTCTGGTTGTTGGATACCGTAGCCATGAGATTAAAGTAGAGGTGCAGGCTCAGACCTCTAAATTCAGCTAATCTGGCATGAGGTGTGTTGTCTCATGATCTACAACTCGCGCCTGTCTCTAAGGGTCCTCCATCTTCCCCCACCTTCACTGCTCCTGCAGTGTTATTCACGTCTTCTGTGACAGCTTCTCTGTGTTGCTCTGTAGTACACTAGCTGAGAGAACTTCGAGAGAACATGGAAAGAAACAGTTTTTGTTCTCCATTTCTATGACTTAATGTGAGCAGAATGAGATTTTTCTTTAGCCTATCTTTTGTGGAAGTGTCTGAGCTGTGTCAACACCTGTGGTATTTTTGCCTGAGACAGGTTTATCAATACAGAAAGGAAAAGTAAGTAGATGTCTTTAAAACAGGCCGTTTTGTCTGTTTGTCTGTGGTGTCTGCCAGCATTAACTGTAAGTGCTTTTAATATTTTGGTGGACTGGGGATTGGAGAGGGTAAAGCAGAAGACTAAGGTGTAATCAGCTAACTTCAGTCAGTAGTTTGGTAACTGCAATTCAGTTATTATTAAACTGTTGGTAACCTATATGTATGTATGTATGTGTGTGTAGGCCAGAAGCAAGCACCCAAGCGGGGAGAACAGCAAGGATTCAGCAGTGGAGAAGCAGAGGTGAAACAAGACAAGACTGAAAGGAGACCAACTTTCAGGGCATACCGTTCATGTGAAACCGAAAGACAAGTCAAAGTCACAGTGGAAAGGTATGTGTTGTACAGGGAGAAGTAAGGTTCCTCATGGAGGATCTGCACAGGGTTGGGAAGGGAAAGACTTAACCTTCTTAAAACAGACTTGGTAGCCAGATGTGACTTGAAGGCATGGTTGCATTATTAGCGTGTAGATTTGTTGCAAGACGACTTAGTTCATGCCTGTGAGAACTGTAATTTTAGCTTCCTCACAGATTGGTTTGGAGCAATTTTGTTAAATGTTATAAATATAAGATGAAACTGAAAAGTGTAAAAAAAAAACCTGAAAAAGTAACCACTAGGCTGCAACATATATGTTCATTTCTGAGCTCGCATACCAAGCTTTGCAGAACATGTGGGGCAGGTTCCGCGTTGAATTAATTTTACTCTTCAAACTGAAAATAAACCTTTGTCATACTATTTACTACTTGGACAGTGAGTGCCTATCAAATTTGCTTTCTTTAGAAGTACTAGAAAATTCCACATAAATCTTTAATGCTTCAGAGCGTGACTGTTCTTACTTTACATCACAATAACTGGTATTTAACAAGTTCCCTGAAGTTTTTAGCAGTTGCATGTAAATCTGGGTTTGGACAGTGCAGCCGTTGCTGAAGATTTGACACCCTTATAGTGTTTTATGCAACTTCTCTGGTGTTTTCAGTGTTATCAATAAACAACTGAACTTTCTATTCCTGTTGTCTGTATAATTCCCCTCGAGTTCAGTTAATGTCCACTTTCAATGATAGAACTAATGCAACTGTAGTGTGTGCTGTGTGAAGATGCACTCTAAAAATTGTACAGTAGCCTCGTGTACTGATGTCTCTCACAACTGCACAAATCAACCATATAATTTTTTTTTTCTCCTTGTTAACTGTTCTGTAGGAACAAAAATCAGGCTAGAAATCTTTTTAGACCAAGTGAAAGATTAGACCATGAAAGGCCAGTAAGAGGTCGTGGCGGAGGACGAGGTGGAACACGAGGTAGAGGAAGAGGTGGTGGAATAAATAGAAGTTCTGATGGCTTCGACCAAAGAGGAAACCGGGAATTTGAAAGACAAAGTGGGAATGATAAAACGTAAGTGTTCTGTG